TGGTTTATTGTTGTGGGAGCCCGCATTCAAACGTCTCTCTTGTCGAGTCTCACGGTCTGTCCCAGGGTGTGGCCTTCATCTTCTCGGGGGGGGAATCTTCACTCTGACCAGATGTTTTCTTTTCCAAAAGCCATCATGCCCTGGAAGGTAGAGTTCACCTATAAAAGTTGTTCTTCTGTTCAATCAGTTCAGCTACTGATTGTAGCAGTTGCTGATTTGCTAACGTCCTTCGAAGATCTAAATTCCTCCAAACTCCCATCAGTCCCCCTGCTGCACACAGCAGCGTTCCCACAGGATCCTAAGTGTGGTCTGCATTTTAAACTAAGGTCTGGCATTAGCTGCTTAGTTAGTCGTTGATTTAATAGATCCAGAAATACAAATGAACATGTGCACAACCGTGTAGCTTACTTGCAAAAAGCAGAATCACGTTTTTCTCACAGGACCATCAAGCCCCCTGTGTGTTTCTCCTGGGCATACGTATGGCGGACATCGGACTCTGCAGCTGAGCATGCAAGTGCTTGCTCTTCATCTCCGGTTGTGCATTTCTCAGCGAAAGACTTTTACATTTCTGGATATTATATTTAATATCCAGAAGAAGTATGTGTGTATACAATTAAAATGTAAATTAAGAGGAGAAAAATATAAATTCTGAATTTTCCATGTATTTCTCTCTACAGTACAAGATCAGTTGTTGTCTCTCTGGGTTCAGCACTTATTTTCTTAGTTGTCTCAGCTTCCTTGACTGCTGAGCCTGTCTCACCTTTTTTGTGTCTGATGTAGAATCTAAATTAGATAAGAAGAAACAGGACAGGATTTCAAATTCATTTTCTTCTGTACAGGCAGGATGGCATCAGTTTAAATTGCTTCACTATAATTTTGCTTCTTTAATCCTTCCCCTTCAATCTGTTTGTGTATACATTATATATATGAAATCTGGGACTGGAAATCTTGCCTAATGTAAGTTAAGACATGACAAATGAACCTGACATTTTTCCAAGGAGGGAACCAAAGAACATACTGTATTTATAGCAGAAGGAATATAGTTTGCTGCTTGTAGAAGAAAAATACGCATTGTATGAGAACTTCAGTGCTGGGGTATGATAAGAGATTGAGATGATGCTGGGTTCAAAGGTGCCGCGCTGTTTCTCCTGGAAGCTTGAGGTGGGGCTTCACCCAGCAGAGGGTTCAGGCTCCCAGAAGCTCAGGTAGCAAGATGAAGTGTGTGTCACAGTGTCAAGATGTTCTCCTGTGCCCAGTTTGAAAGTCCAGTGACTCCAGGATCATCAGTGGCCAGAGTGGGAAAGAGCATGGTGAAGGAGCTCCTGAAGGTTGGGTCTGGGGCTTCTCTCAGTCATAATCTGAACAACTTTCACGTTAAGAATAAGACTTTCCATTTGCAAGCTAAGAGTTTGTTAGTTTAAGTTCTCAAACACAGATGTGCAAACACGTGCAGAAGAATTGATTCACGCCAACCATCTCTGCACGCCAGCTGCTGGCTGCTGCCACCCCTTGCAGCAGGGCAGAGCTGCAAGAGGAGACGCATGTGGGCGATCCAGGTGCCCAAGTTGTTTAACCTGAAGACGATGAAAAGACTTTGTCTTTAAAGTTTTCAGTCTTTGTGGGCATTTCCCGCGGCCGTAGTGAGAATCGCTTGGGTGATGTTCCTTTGAGGTGTTCTGTAGAAGCGCAAATCTCATTTGTTTTCATGCCAAGGTATCTGGTCCACTCTGGGTAAGTTTTTATATTATCAGTGCACTACTGACACCTTTTTTAAACTAGTTGTGGGTAATTCTTGAAAGAGTATGCGATCAGCTCAGCCCTTTGGGTCGAGGGGGAGATGATCACAAAGCTTAGTTGCCCGCACGTAAGCTGTGGTACTTTCCGTCCTGCTTCTGAACAGCGGGGCCGACTCCTTGGGGCTTTGACTGTTGAACTGCATATCAGGACCAGCTTACGGCGCTGAACTCATCCTTTGTTTAGCAGGGGTGATGGACGCTGGGGCGGTCTGGGCCTGGCAAATAGTTGAGGTCATAGTAACTTTGATTGCAGCTGGTTTCTGATGGGGAGTGCATTTCCTAGGCAGGTCCTTAGACTCGTACTTGGCTCACGTGGTTTGAGGAGAACTTCTTTTGGTTCAGGGCTGTACCTTTTGTCCTTTCTTGTCAAATTGGGGAACTGATGCTTCATTTTGCTCTACTGAAGAATTCTCCTGGTTTCCTCTCTGCATCCTAATTGTTCTCCAGAGAGCACCGCAGTGTGCTTGAGCGTATCGTGCCTGTTTGCTCACAGCGTCTGCTGTGTGTGCAGTAACGCAAAATCTTCGATCTCTGCCCTGTCGCTGCAGGCTGGCATGATTCGCACAGACAAGGACGAGTTCTTCATTGAACCTCTGGAGAAGGGGGCCCAGGAGGAGGAGGAGGGAGAAGGCAGAACGCATGTGGTCTATCGCAGAGCAGCTGCCAAGAAGCAGCTTCCTATTGAGAACGTGGACACCCTGCATAAAGGTAAGGCAGAGATGTTCATGCCAGCTGATGTATGAAGTGTAGCTGAAGGCACGTGGCCAATGTGATCTCCTTTCTCTGGCATTTTTATCCTTGATAATGGAAATGTGTTCTTCTCCCTCCGTGGATGAAAAGATGGGGAAGGAGTTGAACGCTTTACCTGGGGTAAGCAAGCATTGCAGCAGCCAAAGCCATCTCTGGGATGGTGGAACTGTGTGTGCTTTAAAGAGTTTCCTTGGCTCCGGAGGCAGCCAGCACGAAGTCGTGTGTCCCCCTGAGTCCCCGGGTCAGAGCAGGGGAAGGGGATGGCACAGCGGGCAGAGGTGCCTGTGCGCGCTGGGGGCAGGTAGCAGTGCTGGCTTTGCAAAGGCCGTGTTGGAAGGCTACAGCAAGGACACCAGGGCTGACGTGGTACATGGGCTTCTTGTTGGCACTGTCTTCACTGGGCTGGATTTAATCCCAGCAGGGAAATAATGGTATCTTCAGATATGAACACAAGCTTTCTTGATTTATTAATGTGTTTCCAAGTGTGGAATTTAACGTACTAAGTGTATGATAGACAGTAATGGAATAACAGGAGCATAAACACCCGTTCTGTGTAGTATTTTCTCTTTCTCTGCTAACTGCTCGGGTGTTGCACCTTTTTTTCTGAATAAATAAGGGATGCAAGTCTGGTAAGTGGATGTTTTGACAGCTGATGTTAACACTGAGATTAACTGGGTCGTTTGAGTGGAAACAAGAAAATAGCTCCATTTTTGTTCCAAGTGTATATACCAAACTGCAGTTATTTGCCACTCATACCCTAGTATTACCGTATTCCAGTAGGATAAGTTTTCAAGTATAATGCAGTGTTAGATTGTCTTTTGTGGAAATACTCCCAATGATCCCCATCCCTCTACTGGGCGACCTTAATAATTTTCAAAAGACAAGGAGTATGGTACCTGTTGTAAAAAATCCCACTCTGCACTCTACTCTTGCGTAGAGTAATCCCCAGAAACTGCTTGAAGGAACAGTCACAGAAATGAGGTCTGAAATCGGGGCCAGGCGAACAGCACAAAATTCTCAATGTTCAAGTTGGAATGGGCAGAAAAAAGAAACCAAGCAATAGCATTCAGCTGGCCTTTTTTTTCCCATTTTGGCTATCAAAATGACCCGTGAATGTTGTGACTGACTCAGTGCTGTGTGGGGCTCTTCTGGTTGCCGTTGTAGTCATTCTGGAGCAGAGCGGGGTGGCACGGGAGCCTTGAGTGTCACGATCCCAGAATCACAGGACGGAAGCTGCTCTGCTAGTGGATGTTTATAAAATTATTGCAGTGTTGGAAAATATCAGCCAGTCACTGTGTTTCCTCTTAAACAAAAGAGGCTCGATTTTGTTCACACCTTATGGCAGTATTTTTGTGTTTGGATGGTAAATACTCCTGAGAAGTAGGAGTCTGGTACCCAGAGAAGCACACGTTGTAGATCAGCTCCAGCACTGGCACGCGGTACCCGCTGGAGGAAGGCTCCGCGTGCTCTCTGGGAGCACCTCTCCCGGGGGGCTGCCGGCAGCAGCACTACGTGCAGGGTGGGACGCCACCAGGCTTGGGCATCCGTCACCGCGCCTGCACCCTGCGCTCGCGTAAGGACTGGAGTCCGATGGCTCTGGTAGAAGGGCACAAAGCAGAAGTAGCCATCAGCCGGCACTGCGGGATTGAAAAGCAAAAGCGAGGCTGAAGCCGTGCAGGCCAGCCTGGGACGTAGCCCTGGCCACGCCTGGATCAGCAGGTGCCGGTGACAGGTAGGAATAGTTGTGATTCGTCATATTTCAGGTTTTAAAATAAGGAAAAAATGCTAAGCATAGTAAACTTTCCTTCCATCTACCATCTTTTGCTTTGTAAAATCAATTAAAGATTGGGTTTTATTTTGGGAAAAACCCCCCTATACTGTCCAGGTTTTTTTCCCATGAAATTCTCTTTGCCTTTAACAAAAAAAAGTGAACGGCCACTCCAAAACTCATCTGTTCTCTTCTACTTTTTATTAAACCTGGCTTCCCACCTCTTACTTGCTCTAGGCAAGAGGCGTGGAAAGGACATGCTTTCAAGAACTGTTATTTTATTTTCCAGTTTGTCTTTTTCCAGAACGCACCTCGTTTTGGTTAACAAACGTCAAAATGCTGAGTGACTGGGCGTTGATAAGCACCCTGTGCTGTGTGTGCCCATAGTGCTCCAAATCAGTCAGTGGGCTTATTTAGGAAATCCTAAGGGGGGCATTTCCAGCGTGCTGTATCTATTTAAAAAAAAGAAACAGAAAAGAGGTTAACCAAGAGCGCTCCCCCCTTCCACTGTCCCTGGAGACAACTGCATTGTTGCCAAGCCCCATAAATTTACATGTGATGAATTATAACACTTGGACTATTTTTAAAGGTCCAGCCTCCAGGAATCTTATGAATATGTGATGATTATTTTGGTTTTCCCTATGTAAGCTTCTGTCTCTTTTAACTGTTGATAAAAACTTTGTAGTTTCTGACTGTCTAAATATTTTAAATTAACGAGTAACACAAAGTGTATAGTATTCTGTAATTTTTAAGACAGCATCTTTCAAGATCCCATGATATGTTAATTTAATCCCATGATTTGGGAGGGGATTGTGAGTCATGATTTTTGAATGTTTGGGTTTGGATAGATAGATACAAATTCCTTATAAATATTCCTATCTCTGGCACTCTTTTCACAAGAAATAGGACAGGCTGTTCTCTCCCCAGTGGAACAGGAGGTGAAGGAATTGAAATCTCCATGAACTTGGAGTTGGGTGCGTCAGTCGTCATTTCAAGGACGTGGGACTTGTTCTGGGCAGTGGTCATGCCGGCCCTCGCACGACGCAAGGGCTTTGGGATTTACTCCCACAGCTGGTGGGTCCTAAGGGATGCTGCTGTTAGGGAAATCTGCCCAGGCTCTCGCTTGCAGAAGTGAGGTTGGATCTCTACAGCAAAAAATCCCATCTGGGCACAGGGGACCTCCTGTGGCGCAGGGCTGTGCAGGGCTAGAGGGGCTCTGCACGCCTCCTGTCTCCACGCAGAAGTGAAGAGCTCTTCATGCCCAACGTGCTGCCTGAGCGGGTGGTCTTGTTTAGTCATTTGAGACTTCCAGGGCAAACTTGGTCTAACTTTACTTGCTTTGGTAGTGAACCTATACGGGGACGTAGTCTCCTATGCAGTTGTTCTGGACGGTGGCTTGTTGAAGGTCTCAGTACCCCAAGTCAACACGCACTGCGTGGCTGCAGGGCAAAAGGAGAGCGGCCCCTGAAGCTGATGGGCAGCTGATCTTCCCCAGAAGACAACTAGGACTAATGGAAGATCCATCGACTGGTTCTGACCCTGGATTCATGCATAAAGATAAAAAACCAAGTGTGTTCCCAACCATGGAAGTAAATTCTAGATTGTGTTAACAGGTATGGTGAGGTGGACTGGACAGCAGGGTTCTTCCAGCATTTTCCATATGCTATTATCTATATCTTTTATATTACAGTCAGGGAAATTGAGATTTTATGCCATCTGTTTAAAAAATATGAACAAACAAGACAGAACGTCCTAAGCCCTGGAGAGATCAAGGTGTGCATCTTCTTCTATAAAGGCCCTGCTGACATGCCGGGTTTTAGAAGTGGAATGTGCTGGGGGAGAACAGGCATGAAACGAGTGGCAGAGCTGTAGTCTGGTTTCAGACCAGACCAGGTTTGCTTTGCATTTACATAAAACTCTATTAGAATACTGGGAAAAGTAAATACTTGTTTTGGCAGCCTGAACCGTTGTGTTTTTGACTGGTGTGGGATTATCTGGTGTTTGTGGGAATCACGGAGTAAAGGGTACAATATTTCTGCCTGGTTTTCCCCTCTCAAACAATACTGTTGGTTAATGTGCTGCAGAAATGTAAGCATCATATTTTAGGCAAGTAATAATCTGCAGCAGAGCAATGCTGTGGAAGTCTGTGCAAGCTCCCTACAAATTAGGCTAATTGCTTTGGAAAGAGAAATATTTTCATGTAGTGGTTGATGTATTGTAGGTACGGTGGGAATAAACCCTGTTTTTTCTGGCAACTGCTGTTCCTACTTGCATGCATATAATAATTTATCTTCCTCTAGATAAAAATAAGCAGCATGTCGAAAATTTAATATTTCCAGTTGAATTCCTTTTTACAAAGATGAGAAAAGTTGCTTGACAGCAGTAAAACTTCCTGCATGATAGAACTAGAATTAAACAGGCAAGCTAGAGGAGGTTTTTTCTTGAAACTGCTGGGTTTTTGCTTAAATGTTCTTCAGATGTTAAGTGAAGAGATAAGTATTTAATGAATGGTTACGGTGAGGTCTGGAAAACCGGCTTGACTTTCGTCTCTACAAGCCTGATAACCAGATTGTCTTTAAGCTTTAATATCGCATTTCCCCAGCTAAATTACTGTGTCTGTTATGTTGATCAACTGAGAGGAAATGATTGTACTAAAACTTCCTTAAGGTTTGCCTTCTCTCTCAAAATCATTGTCTAAAAACCCTGCTTGGAGTTTTGTTGTGGTGCTTGACTGATGAGAAATAGAAATTCAGCCTCAGCTGACAGTTTTATTTACTGTGCAGCCAAAAGATGCCCTTTGCAAAGAACAGGCTGTTACTGAGGGAGACAGCAAGGTAATGCTCCAGATGTGCTTCAACCAGGCAGGTTGCTGTTTCTTTAACTGCTAATTAAATCCTTCGGAATGGCCAAGCCCAACCCGACACAAGCCCCATCATGAATATGCTTGGGGCTGATGGGATGGACAGAGTCGCAGCCTCTGCTGGAGAATCGTGACCCCTTCCCATGGCCATACCTGGGTTTGCTTGTGGTCAGCCCTTCAGAGGGGCGGTGGCTTGGTACTGAGAGATGTGATCATTTTGTGTGACCCCGTGGTGTACTTCTTGGGGCAAACCCCATCCTTTTCTTTATGGTTTTTCAACTCTACTACCATTTCATTCTTTTTATGTCGAGGGTGCCTAACCCCCCCCGG